CTGTGTTTCTGTTATGAGACTATGTATAACCATGTATTGGGGTTGTGGGTTGTGTTTCTGTTATAAGACTATGTATAACCATGTATTGGGGTTGTGGACTGTGTTTCTGTTATGAGACTATGTATAACCATGTATTGGGGTTGTGGACTGTGTTTCTGTTATAAGACTATGTATAACCATGTATTGGGGTTATGGACTGTGTTTCTGCTCTTTGTTTCCCCAGTGACAGATTTTAGTCTGTGGGGTGCTGTCTGGGCCGTGGGTCTCGTCTGCATCTTCTACACCACACTGGTGAGTAAGGACACATAACTAGTGTGTTTATTCTGTACAGTACATAAAGTTAAAGTGACAGTGTCATTTATAAGACTTTATACGACACATTTTCGGTAGGTGTTGAATCGGGACACGTGAAGCACCACATAAAGTGTCATTTTACCCAGGCAAAACTCGTTCCCTTTCCAAATGAACACCAAACTCGTTCACATACATTGTTAATTCTATTTAACTCGATGAATCTTGTTTTACAAAAAATCTTATGTAATGGGAAGTTCGTCGTTTAATTTCGTCGTTTCGACCCTTACCTGGGGAGATCTACTTTACAATCATACCGACCCTTACCTGGGATAGTCTACATTACAATCATTTCGACACTTACCTAGGATAGTATACTTTACAATCAGTACTTTACAATCAGTACGACCCTTACCTGGGATAGTCTCCTTTACAATCAGTACTTTACAATCAGTTCGACACTTACCTGGGATAGTCTCTTTTACAATCAGTACTTTACAATCAGTTCGACACTTACCTGGGATAGTATACTTTACAATCAGTACTTTACAATCAGTTCGACCCTTACCTGGGATAGTCTCCTTTACAATCAGTTCGTCCCTTACCTGGGATAGTCTACTTTACAATCAGTTCGACCCTTACCTGGGATAGTCTACTTTACAATCAGTTCGACCCTTACCTGGGAAAGTGTACTTTACAATCAGTACGACCCTTACCTTGGATAGTGTACTTTACAATCAGTTCGACCCATACCTAAGATGGTTTCCTTTACAATCAGCTCGACCCATACCTTAGATGGTTTCCTTTACAATCAGTTCGACCCTTACCTAAGATAGTCTCCTTTACAATCAGTTCGACCCTTACCAAAAATAGTTTCCTTTACAATCAGTTCGACCCATACCTAAGATGGTTTCCTTTAAAATCAGTTCGACCCTTACCTAAGATAGTCTCCTTTACAATCAGTTCGAACCATATCTGGGATAATTTCCTTTACAATCTGTTCCACCCATACCTGGGATAGTTTCGTTTACAATCAGTCCGACCCTTACCTGATATAGTCTCCTTTACAATTAGTTCGACTCTTACCTAAGATAGTCTCCTTTACAATCAGTTCGAACCATATCTGGGATAATTTCCTTTACAATCTGTTCCACCTATACCTGGGATAGTCTCCTTTACAATCAGTCCGACCCTTACCTAAGATAGTTTCCTTTACAATCAGTTCGACCCTTACCTGATATAGTCTCCTTTACAATCAGTCCGACCCTTACCTAAGATGGTTTCCTTTACAATCAGTCCGACCCTTACCTGATATAGTCTCCTTTACAATCAGTCCGACCCATACCTATGATATAATATCTAAGAGTCCGACGCTGACCCTAGCTAGTGTAGCTTTCATGCAGTTAATTGTTCGAACAATATCTCTTATTAAGATGTCAACTGACTTCTGAAATGTTACATCTTTTTCAATGTAATATATGATGTCATTTTGATCAGTGAAAGAATACCTACCGTCAAACCACCAATGGCAAGTGACATGGCCTCACGTAAATAAACAATTATTAGATAAATTTGATATGAAAGTTTTGCAGACTCTGTATTTTACCTAGATTTGGTGTTTTTTTTGCATTCGCAATGTCATTGTCGATTTTATCAAAATGCTGTGTAAGAGGAAGGACAGGATGAGTCCAACAGTGTCTCAAACATTACTTGTATGTGTGTGTATGGGGTATTACGAAAATCTACCCTCTCCTTTAGAATTTAGGTTCTGAACCTCACAAAGTCTCAGTTCTGACCACAATTCTGCACACTTTGGAGGAATTTCCGTATCGCCGATACATGTATAGTCCTTACTGAAATCCGTGTTTGTTTCCTGATCATAACGGACCTCTGTTTTGGCTAAGTGTTAATTAACAACGCACGTGTAATCTGTTGTTGTTGACTAAAGCAGCCTTCACTGATCTTCTAGGGCGGTATGAAGGCCGTGTTATGGACTGACACGTTCCAAGTGTCCCTGATGATCGCCGGCCTGCTCGCAGTGCTCATCCAAGGTTCCATAGAAGTAGGCGGCTTCGCGAAGGCTTGGGAAATATCTCGGGTTAGCGGAAGGATATGGTTTACCGAGTAAGTACAGCGACTAGAAAGCCTAAAAAGTACATTTATATTGAAGGATAGCGCACATGATGATTTACAAAGCAAATGTACGTTTACGTTTTCCGAGGATAGAAAAGACAAACTAATACCTAGAAACAACAGAAAAGAATGTATCTAATTGGTGGTTATCATTGTTTTTTTATGCGGCTCAGTCTAGTGTTGAGTACAGTTACAACCAACTTCTACTCGATATTGGAGCATCAACAAATCATTACCAAATATACTGTCGATTTAACACAGTGGTGTAGGGCCAATTCTATATTTGTAAAAAGGAAACATTACATAACTTCACGGAAAACAAGTTATACACGCACATTTAACTTGTTACACGGATGGAAGTGTACCAGGTAAAGTTGTCCGATTTATATATCTTAATTATTTTATATCAATGGTCGATAATATGAAATATGAATCGATTGGACAACTAGCTACCGTTCCCGCTGCTGACAGTAGCACATACATGCATGTAGAGCAAAACAAAATCCCAGACATTGGAAATCTGTTTTCTTTTTTTAATAGGGTCCGTTTGTGATATCACAGCATATAAAGATGAAATTTTATAATCAACAAACTCATATCAATATTCTTTTCAAAATAGATTCATTCTGGAAATTTGGTCATTGTAGCTTCGATCCTGACCCGATTGTGCGCCACAGTTTCTGGACATGTGTATTCGGGGGCGCCTTTACGTGGCTGTCGGTATACGGTGCCAACCAGGCACAGATCCAGCGGGCCATCACGTGTCCCACCATAAGAAAGGCTCAGTAGTAAGTACTTATACAGATTCATCGGGCCATCACGAGTCCCACAAATAGGAAGGCTCAGTAGTAAGTGCTTATAAATATTCATCGGGCCATCACGAGTTCCACAAATAGAAAGGCTCAGTAGTAAGTACTTATACAGATTAAGCGGGCCATCACGTGTCCCACCATGAGAAAGGCTCAGTAGTAAATACCTATACAAATTCCTCGGGCCATCACGTGTGCCGCCATGAGGAAGGCTCAGTAGTAAGTACTTATACAGATTCCTCGGGCCATCAGGTACCCACCACGAGGAAGGCTCAGTAGTAAGTGCTTATACAGATTCAGTAGGCCATCACGTGTCCCCCACAATGAGGAAGGCTCAGTAATAAATACTTATATACAGATTCAGCGGGCCATCACGTATCCCCCACCATGAGGAAGGCTCAGTAGTAAGTGCTTATACAGATTCAGTAGACCATCACGTGTCACAAAATGAGGAAGGCTCAGTAGTATGTACCTATACGGATTCCTCGGGCCATCACGTGTCCCCACAATGA